CTTTTAATGCTCTCAAAAGTTGATAAAAATCAAAATGATACAAGTTTTGGGAAATTTAAACCAAAGGATAAAGGGAGTTTGGTTCCTTCTCTGATTTTGAAAACTTTACTCGGAATTTCTCGAGATTATTTGAGTCATTTTCAAGTATTCTGACATCGCATATGCTCGATATGGCCGAACATTGTCATCCATTAACAAAAACTCTTGGCCAATAACACACCTAATAGTCAAACTTGGTGTTTGTATACCTCCTCCCCATTTCTCCTAGAGGATACAGAGCCACCTTGAGAGATATGCAGCTCGGTGCGGCCATTTATCATGATTCTTCCCCAAATCATTAAACAGCGTTCACGGGAACGGGATATTTCACGAACTAATTAATGACTTCCATCTAAAATTAAAACACGTCTAGAATCAGAGTTCACACTATATCTGGACTCGTCAGTAAACAATATTCGGGCCCAGTCTTCATGGCTTCATTGAACATACTCCAAAAAATACTTCAAGTTCTACTTAGAAGACGATGTATAGTTGAAAGATGCATTATCTGAATTTACATATGTATTTAAAATTTTCTTCTTTTTGTAAAAATTTAAAATGTACAATTTTCAGATGATAACTTAAGTTTCCCCTTTCTTTATCTATAACTTATTATTATTTTGAATCACTATATAGAGATTTTTAGTGATGAGAGAAAAACGACGAATTTGTCTACTGGTAAGGTTTGAGGTATTAAATTGTGAGCGTGTTGAAATAAAAAAATACATCGGGGGGTATTGACGTTATACGCATGTTAAATGATAGGATCCCTCATTCGAACGTAGCCTGTTAGCTGCCGCTGTTCTCAAGACAGCAGCGTTGCTCGAGGAACACCACTAGGAGGTCGGCTACGGGGGGGGGCAGCTCAGGTGTCGTCCACGTCACTTGACCATGGTTCAAAATTACGTGGTCCGTCGCCAAAAGCCCTCGTGTAGCTGAACAGTGCGACGTTAATATTCATTCAGTCACTCACTACAAGTAATTCCTCAGGGTTGTCCTTCCCGTTTCATTTTTGATCTAACCTGGACAGCCCCGGGAAAGTCTTGCGACAACCCCTTCTCTCAAATCCTTTACAAAATGGGTCCATCTGCCATGTCTCAGGATCGGATAAAATGGAAAAAGCGTCGTGCGTTGAAGGAAGATAGGATGAACGCGTCCATAAAAAATACCCGGCACGTGGTTATGATAAGTAAACATATTTCAAAACTTTTATTTCAACAAATAATTTTGATTGGGGAATACCAAACAGAAAATGCTTTGAAATTAATGTGAACTGAACACGCTATCCCAGCCACTAAAGTTATAAAATTTTGAAATAAATGCGGGAACGTGCCGGGTGCCTTCCTGGAGGACTTGATGGGTAGCTGGCCCACATTCGTGTGACACGTGGGGGAACGAGGGAAACCCCTCGCAGCCAACTCGATGAAGAATTGCCTCATTAGCAAAAAAAGGAGGATCATCTCCTAGTTCAAAGAGCTTCTGCGCTCGGCCACTGGTGGCGCGTACTGTTCGTTGGTGAAAGGGTACCATCTCTTCCACTTTGGATTGTGTGTGTGATCACAAGTTCCAGTTTTCGTCACAATTATTAGAATTAAGTTGGAATTAAGTTGCCCTCATTCGTGTCGGGACTAATCATCTTCAAGATCGTATATATAAAATTTGAATTTTTATATATTTAAAAGAATCTTATGTCTCTAATTGTATGTGAATTGATTGTGTTTCATTGAGGTCTCTAAGTGAATTGATTGCATCATCTCTTTGAAATGGTTTTAAGTAGAATTAGCAATGAAATCGAACAAAAATGATGGTTAAATAAAGTCAACAAGATTTCAAAGTAAATTACTTTTATACTCAAAATGTTGAATTGTTAAGTAAGGAAATTTCGTAGAACATTTTAATTAATTAAATTTAATAATTCTATCAATTAAATAAATTTATTTAAAAAAGGTTTATTAAGTATTAAATGATATTTTAGATTAAAAAGTAAAACAAAAAGTAAAGTTTTTAAAAAGTTAAATAATTACTCTAATTATATAAATGTTTATATTATATTTTATAAATATTACTATTAATAAATAATATTTATTCTAAAAATGCATTATAACAAATACTAAATGATATCGAGCATATCGGGAATCATTTAGGACTGCGAGTTGGGCATCCCACAAGTTTGAGCGAACTAGAGGTACGGTTACAGCAAATATGGAGCGAAATGTGTGTGTCTCAAGACATCCTAAAGAACTTGTATTACTCAATGCCCGATCGTATCGCATCGTGCATTCGCGCTATAGAGGGGGTTTAATAGGGTATTAAATCTTCCGTTCTTTTGCCTTTTTCTCTGAAATAAATGATCCTTTTTCTTTGATTTTCTAATCATTTACTTATATCAAAGTAGTCATTGGGTATGTAAAATTTCGTTTCATTTTGACGACTCCTTCTTGGTGCGTTATTTTTTTTTTTTTTTTGTCAATAGGTTTAAAAAATTTAAGTCTTTTTTAAAAAAAATTAATTAATTGTAAAAATAATTAAATGAATTGTGAAAAAATAAAACAAAAAACTGATTGAGTGACTCGAACCTTGGCTGACCACGTGGTAAGCAGGTACAATATCGCCTATGCCTTAATCAAATCAAAACGTAATTGTATAAAAGCTAAGTATGAATTTCGAAGGCTATTTTCTCCGATCTGACTGGCCACCCCCAGGGCGACATACACATAATAGGTATTTCACGCAGGCCGTTACATCAGGATAATGCAAAAAACCCACTGTAAGACCAAAGCAAAACTGATCAAACTATTTACACTCATTTTCGGCTTTTATTTTAATACGATATTAACCTTTCTGTCAAACACACACACAAAAATATTTATTTTTATGCATTTTTCACTTAGTTTTAGGATAGTTTCAATTTCCTTTCATCTAACCCTTTTGCTTACATTCTACTATAAAAAAGAGCAAATCGGTAACAAAATTGATATATTCGGTTGCTTGATTGATAGAATTCCCCTCTAAATTTTTTGTAAATAGTTCTCCAATAATTGAATATCTTAGTGCAATGGGCCATGAAAGGGCCACTCAGAAAAGCCCGGTGAGCCACATTAGCCCCGCGGTTTGGGTATCCCTGATATATACTGAAGTGAGCTTTTTGAGATATTCCCAAAATACTTGCCTAGAGACAAGATACCGTAACAAAAAAAAGTTTTTAATAAATTCATAGAAATGCTCATTAAAAGTTTGGATTTGAAAAATCTAAACAATATATTTGAAAAATCTCACTTCCGTATAAATATAAAAGTTATATATAATGTATATGTAAACAGACAAAATGTGAAGGGTTTTATAGATTCTGAGAAAAAGGAACATAAAAAAGCTCAATCTAACATTGTCAGTATAAGAGAGGTACCGACTAATCTTAAACAGCTTACAATTATTGCTCAAAATGTGGTGCATTACAGTAAAATGTCTTAGAATTTCATCTAACTTGTAATCAGGTTTTGCGCTTTTGCTTACAAAAGAAAAATAATTAAGAAATCTACAAACATGTAAAATGACAAAAGTTATTTTAACACGAAGCATCAAACAGATAATTTACTAAAGGTTTTATTCATAAAATGGTGAAGAAAATAAAAAAATAACTTCTACATTGGAAGGTTAACAACAGGAATTTTAAAATTCGAAATGTTCTTGCGTAACATACTTGTTACACCGAAAGACATTCTCTAAAGCAGCAAATGTAAATGAAAATTAATTTAAGCATAAAATATCCATGTAAAAAGTCGTAAGATGATTCTCAAATCTTCGTACATTTAACAAGAGCCATAAAGATGCAGTGGGGCTTTGAGTTCAGAAACCCAGTCTACTGAAGTTGAATTGCAATTCAGTAAGTTCCCTGTAAAAATTAAAAAAAGAAAATATCAAAATTTTAAATATATACATATAGAAATTTGTAATCTAATTACTGAAACAATAATTGTTCATGGTTGTTCAGAAGGAGATGTGAAGCTGGACATGTTCCAAAAATAGTATGTTTGATAGGGATATAGAGAGAAAATTATAAAAATGAGAGAATAGTTTTTATTTATATAATGCTCTCTCTCTCTTAAGTAGCCACGGTAGCCGAAGTTGTATAGGTATCGGATCGTGACTTGCCTTGTTACGAGTTCGAGCCTAGTACCACTAAAGATCCGCCGTGTAGGGCAGTGATGCACGTTAAATCTGTCGAGAGCTGAAACATCCTCCCGTTGGTGTGGTGTGGTAGTTAGGAGAGGGGGTGCCAGCTCAGGTGTCGTCCACGTCACTTGACCATGGTTCAAAATTACGTGGTCCGTCGCGAAAAGCCATCGTGTAGTTGAACAGTGTGACGTTAATTTTTAATCAATCAATCTTTCTCTCTCAAAAATTATTTTGACAATTTATTTGCATTTTTCGGTAATTGCACATTTATCGCAATAATATCCCTCTATTAATAACTTGCCAAGTAGGCAAGCCCAATTTCCTATATATCGTACCCGCTGAATTAGCAACCAGGTGCTTCGTTTCATATAAAGTCGCCAATAGGTCGTGATAATACGTAGGTACCCATATTTCTAACACATATGTATAACATAAAAATAACAAATGTATTTTCGGTTGTCTTATTTCGTTTCTAAAAATAACAAATATAAAATTCTAATGTATACTTAACATTGATACACGAGTTGTAATTAAATTTAAGTAAAAGAAACTCAAATAAAGTTACAAATCCAAGAACACATATTTTTTCCTTTTGTTGTTATTGTGTGTTTTTATCCTGGGATATATATGAAATACAAGTGGAAGAACAAAAACAATACACAAACAGGAATATAGACATTTATATTACGAACGATGATCCCAGCAGAAGGGGTGCACTGCTTTCCATTCTAGACGGGAATCCATTACAGGCAAAAGTCTGACTTCTTTTCCCGAAGTAGATACAACCATGCCTTACTCGGGATTCGAACCCAAACTCACTCGATTACAAACCGAGGATCATGTCCACCATACTGGCAGGTCGGCACATATTTCTCTAAGTCGACATATGATGTTCAGAAGAATATTTCTGGAGCAAATATTTTGGCCATTGTGTTTTCGTGATAAGTAATGTAGATCTTCAAACTTTTTTAAGATATAACAACCAAATAATAGAAGAAAAAATTTTGAAATTGAATTAATTTATCTAAGATGAAAAAAAAATTTTAATTTATATTTCAATGTTTTTTTTTATTTTAATCTCTGAAACACGTGACAAACCCTCATCTGTCAAGGGTAAAGTATGCAATCGGTGCAGAGTCTGTTTTCATTTTTAATGGAATCACTTGTAATTTTGACATTTTGATTTTTATGCAAAAATATCCTTGTGAAATATTAAGATGTCACATTAGTTTGAGTTGACAAATAAACCCTTGCTTCTCTAAGATGAAAATAGTTGGGTCAACATTAATAATTGTTTTAACTCTAATCGCAAACGTATAAAATTATTATAACTAGTACTAAATCGAAAGAAATTCAATTATATAGGTAGTTAATAGGATAATTTATAATTTACATATTTAATTATTTTTAAAATGGAATTTTCTCTCTCAGTTCTCTTTTGTCATAACTAAATACCATAAAATACAGTTTTTGCCATAAAATTGGAGTACATTTCTAACTCCGGAAAACTCTGTTAAATTTTTTCGAAGCTATGGAAGTTTCAAGAATGAGTCTTCTAATGTTAAATACGTGTCTTAGACGTTTGACAATTAAATATTTTCTATACAAAAATTTTCAAACACGTCTAGACAACTCGATTATTTTTTTCAAAACAATTGGAAAAATATTAGTAATAATAATAATAACAACATGCATATGATATTTTGTGTTGCATTGAAGATCTAAATCCATAATTTCAATCAATTATTTCTTCAGGACATCAAAATTAAAATTTTAATTGTTTAACAGCTTATTTTTATTAATAGATATCTTGTTAATCCCGGCTATATTTGTTATTAAAATAACATAAATTAATAATATATCTTTTATTTTACTAAAAAATAATTTAAGAACAACAATTTTAAAGTAAAAATCATTATAAGAAAAACGTAAGAATAAATGAATAAATAAAGAAAAATGAATTAAAAAAAAAGAAAGCAAGAAAAGTAAAAATAAATGGAGTGAGTGACTGTAAATGAAAGAAATACTCTGGAGATTGTGTGATTTTTTTTTACCTGAAATATTTGAACTGATTGGTTCCTAATTTGTGAATAACTCTTAATCTAAAAATCAGATTGGGAGGAAGCTTGGAATATGGACTAATTGGAATAATTTCTAAAGTTGAATTCCATATATTTTTTTTTTCCAAAAAAACTTTTTTAATCTGTTAAAACCGTACTTAAGTGCTTTCTTTTTCAGACCTTCGAAATGATATTAACTTTATTCCGTAGCTTTGAGAATTGAAAATTTATTGTAGGTGCTTCATAAATGCAAATTTCATTCCGAAAGCAATAACAATGTAGTAAACAAGGTACTATCATATTTAATCAAGAGTATTTTTAGCAAGCCTGGAAGTAATGTAGCTTATCTCAATTTCTCATTGCATTTATTAGAATGTGGATGATATGGTGATATATTGGTCATCCTTTTAGACGTAAATATCTGAAGGAGAGCAGAACCCGCTGCCTTTAGATTCGCAGGCACATAACATATCCAATATACTAAAATGATCATCTTAGTACGGAGGCTGTGTGTGTGTGTTACTGGCTTATATAAATACCACCTCCACACACTACCCTACCAGTGAATCGATGGATAGGCGAAAACGATACCATAATTATGGCGAGCGTGAGAGTTGTTTCGTCAAGTGTGTTTAGATGGCTTGAGTATTGCGTCATGTGTGTCTGACGACTTTTGGTTTCTCTTGCGGAGAATAGATGGCGCCACGTCTGCTCCACGAAGGTTTGCATAGTTTCGAAGTTCACCCAGGGTCACCAATGAAGGAGATTAAAACCTGCAACCTTCGGATTCGTAAGCACATAACTTATCCACTATACTAAAATGATAATCTTAGTATGGAGGCTGTTACTGGCTTATATGGATACCAACACCACATATCCATGAATCTACACCTAATAAAGAGCGAATAATACATCTGAGAAATGCTTGTACGATCTACTTTTAAGTATCTTCTTAGGAAATCATTTATGACAAATTTAAATATCAAAGAAAAAAAAGAACTAAAAGCAATTACCAGAGAACCTCATTTTCTTTTGCTAACCAGCATCTTATCCAATTAACTTGCAAGAAGCTGTCTTTTTATTTATGAAACAAAGTATTTAATATAATAATAGAAATATTTTACACACACAATCTAAACTAAACTCAGTGTTGCAAGAGCCCATGAGGGCCAAAGCCTATTGGGCCCATCTCAGTATACGTGACCTTTGGGCGCTGAGGTGCATGAGTAGATGTCCGGATCCTCAGTTGATCAGTCTGAAGCAAAACTCTCAGTGTTTAGTCCCTAAGCAAGCTTGGTACTCATTTATTGACCCACTGAAAGGATGAAAAACTGAGTGGACCGTGAGCAGCCCGAGAATAAAACCCCGGACCTGTGGTGTGGAAGCGCGATACGCTATTACTCGGCCACTGGATTTCTATTTTATACACACAATTTCGAAAAATCATGATTCATTCCAGCCCGTATAAGTCAGAAATTATTTGGAATGAAAGTTGAATTATTGCTCATTCTTCACAATTAATTTCTGGCTATTGTTTTTTTTTAATTATTTAACTGCCAGCATATTTTTAATACATTTCTAATTATAAAAAGTATAGAATTTCACTACATCATTCCATTGATGGCCGCACAAAGAAAGCATAGTAGAAAAATTAAAATATACCAACCTCTGAGGTCCAAGATCTCTAAATCTCCCCAAACAGGAGTCCACACTCTTTCGGGAATAGTTTCGAGCTGATTGTTATCCAGATAAATCCTTCGCAGACCTAACATATCGTCGAACAGGTCATCGGGTAATGTTTGCAATTCATTATCGCTGAAAAAAGCATTCTAGATGAGAATTTCATCTACATTCTAAGAAAGATATTTTATATTTTTAAAAAGAAATATATTAATTTTAATTCTACTTAACTGAATGTGAACCATTTATAAAATTTGTCATTTTCTTTTCATTAACGTTTTTCTCATACATACAGTTGTAGTGTCACTGAAATCCTTCCGTAAAGAGCAGTGGTTCCCAAAGTGGTCGCTACAGGCTCCAAAGGGTCCCGGGCGCATAAAATTAAAAGGGATTTGAGGGTCCCTGAACAACGTCAGGGGGTCTACTCAAAGTTTAATATAACATAAAACAAAATTTTTGACCTATTTTTATTTTTATGGAAATTTAAATAAATAACAATAATTCACTTGGATATTCCCGACTGGGTGATGAATCCTTTTGCGCTTGGATTAACTCAGATCCCAAACACAGATGAATCCGTACTTACACATGAGCATCTTATTAAAATATCCACAAATGAGGGACTTAAACCAATGTGTGAACAAGGGTACCACACATTCTGGTTACAAAAACAGATCCCAATTTTATATCCTGCATTATGGGTTATTGTGTAGAAGTTGTTGACTACTTTCCCGTCTTCCAATTTGGTGGAACGTGGATTCAGTGTCGTAAAAAACCTAATCACACAAAAAAGAAAAGAAACAAAAGAAGCCGACTAAAAACTAGTACTCGTAGGGATTTGCGGTTACTACTCACAAACATTGAGACGGACATTAATACACTCATAATATCTCATCAATTTCATCCAAGTCATTAATGTTTGTTATTTTATTTTAAACAACAGTTATAACTTCAACAAATTTCTTCAACAAAATGATTTGTCATTTTTTTATACTATGCATTTATGTAGCTTTTTCACTTGGGGGTCATTAGGAAAATAAAAAGGGGTCCGTGAGCAAGTTTTGACTATAAAGAGTCCGTGAGCAAGTTTTGACTATAAAAAGGGTCCCATGGGATAAAAAAAAGTTTGGGAACCATTGGTGTTTGTGTGTGTAGAGGAATAGAGATGCTCGTTAAATTTGTCGAGGCTCGTAGCCCTCCTATTGGCACGGTGTGGAACTTTGGATAGGGTTCTCAACTCAGGTTTCGTCTTTTGATTGTGGTTCAAAGTTTCTACGTTCGACACCAACATCTCTATTGTTGATTCAGAATGCAACGTAAAATTAAATCAAAGAAAATATTACATACAGTGACACACACACTCATGACCGACCTGCATAATGTAATTAATTTTAAAATAATTCTTTTTTCCCTCCTCCAGTACATAAATTAGTTTTTTAGCTTTAGAATTTTGTTTCATTTATTGCAGCATCTCATACACAAATGATTGGAAAAATTTTTAATTTTAGTGCATATTTAGTATTGCTCTACAATTATTTTCTATTATGGAAATCAATTCCTGTATTACAGTTATTTCGCTGCATAACTGTTAGCAAGAATTTTTTTTTTCAACTTAATAATAATCAGTAAGAAATTAAATATATTCTCAAATAGTTAAATCTTTTGACGAAATAGCACAATATTTTTTTTTTTAAATAACCAACTGTACATGCGGAAATTTCGTGAAACATTCAAAAATATAGGGTAATAAATTTCGGTAAGTTCAAAGTATTTAAGAACTAATAAAACTATTATTCACATAAATAATAAATATAAAATTAAATGAAATCATATATATTATAAACGGGATCATTTAAGGCTAATTGTATAAACCTCGCTTTACACATTTTTTAAACAGACACTTATTTCTACTCTTATGAAGAACAAAACATTAGAGGGATTTGACTTAATTATAATTTATTGCAAAATTTTCCCATAATCAGTCAGAAAAAGGTTAAACTCTTTAAAAAATATCGTATCTGTACGATATAATGGCTTTTTCATATGTCTTTAAACATATTTTACTTAACCTTTTATTTTCGAAGTAGTAAAATCAACTTCAATAACTTAGATTCTT